CTCATGCCTGTAACCCCAGCTTCTAAGGACATTGAGGCAGGAGGATTCCAAATTTGAGGGCAATCTGGGCAACTCGGACCCTGTCTCAAAATAAAAAACAAAATGGGCTGGGGATGTAGCTCAGTGGTAGAGATTTCCTGGGTTCAATACCCAGAATCACAAATAATAACAATTAAAATATACATATATATGTTGCAGTACTGGGGATCAAATCCAGGGCCTTGTGCATACATAGACAGTGCTCTACCACTGAGCTACACCCCCAGTCCAAATAATTTTTTTAAAGTTATGTTGCCCAGACTGGCCTCAAACTCCTGGGTTCAAATCCTTCTGCCTCAGACTCCTGGTACCTGGGATTACAGGTATGCACTTCCATCCAGCTCTGTATTTGAATTGCAAAAAGCAACAGCATTAACTATTAATTGAAATTACTCAATTCCTAGCTGCTCCTGGCCATTATCTAAATTGAGTCAAACTGTCACCTATTTTTGTAAATGAAATTTTGGAACACAGCCACACCCACTGATTTATATCTAATCTATGTGGCCATCAAAACCTAAACAAATTTATTCTGTCCTAAATCACACAGAATGCCCATGTTATTTTAACTCCCCCACCCCCAATTCCTTGAACTTCTGAGAAACTCAAGGGCTCAGACTCACTTCTATCCTCCATAGCATTCACTGCAGGTGGCTAAAGCCCTTGACCTGACTTTGCTCATACCTGCACCCAAGGTTTTTACCTGCTGCTCCACCTCCCTCAGGAGCATTCCTCCCTGAGGAACCTCACTACTCTGAGCTGGTTTGGTTCTCCAGTTGCTTATGAGACACTGAACCATTCAAGACAGGTCCTACGTGTTGATATTCTTCTCAGCATCATCTAATTCTCTAGAATTGTTGAGAACTGAATAGGAGAAGCATGTGAGAATCACTACACCAATCAGCCCTCAGTGTTTTTTTCCTTTACCTCAGAACCACAAAAATGCTAGCAGACAAACCATCACCTCAGGTGGAGGCAACCTAATTACACTTCCTAGAAAATGAGCTTCCTCCCCTCAAAAGAAACAATAAGAATCCACTCATAGATGGTAGCTGTTTAACTAGCACCCCTGACTAAACAGGTTTTAAGACCATTTTAAGACAGTGATTTTGTTGGATCAGCCCAGGAGAATAAAATGGGTCAGTTAATTGTGCCTTCTGAACTCCATGTTTTGAGTTTAAATAGAGGGTGAGCGGCCACACGTACCAAATTCCAGCTTGTCTTGATTATTAGCCACTGCATGTATCAGTCCGATTGTACCACAGGAGTTCCCGATGGTCTGCTTCATGAAGTACACTTTAGGGCTAACTTCTTGCCCCTTCAATTCTTCAATCTGTTTTTTCCTGAAGTTCTCATGCTGTGAATGGAAGCATTTTTTTACATATTAAAATGCGAACGCAAAAGAACAGATGGCAGCACAGTGAGTTCTGCTACATAAATGGAAACACAAGTGGGATGTGTGAGCAGGAGCCTTGGTTCTAGATCTGGCCACGCCCAGACGGTGGCCTGACTGCCTCCCATCCCACACAGGCCAGTGGGGCTCCAGGAGGTTCTCAGACTCCACCCTTATGCTGCAGTGCAGTCACTGTCTTGGATGTTGCCCAAGGCTCTGTCTAGACACTACTGCAACCTTTTAGCTTGAGATGGAGGGTACCATGAAGTCAGAACACAGGGATGTGTTTATTATTTTCTTTCTTTCACACTAACACCAGCTGTATTTCAGAGACATCCTAATTAAGATGATCAATTTAATTCCCAACAATAACACCAGCTAGTTTACATTACACTATTCTTTGACATTCTACTTCTATTCTGTCCAGGTAGATGTTTTCAAACACAAAACCATATACAAGCTTAACTGTTGAAAAGAACAAGTGAAAGAAATGACCTATTTCTTTGCCCCCGTTTTTTAGAAAAGAGACAACTAACTGGACCAAGTGTTGAGCTGTGATTTTATAAAAACTTCTCACCATACAAGAGGAAGAAGTGATAGCAGGTTGTCCTTGCCAGTTTCACAGTTTAATCTGAGGACAGATTATCAATCTGGAGTAGAAGATAGGATCTAGTATATGAACGGGAGCATCTGCTAGCTTTTTGCATAGTAATTCAATAAGACTGTCTAGATCTTTCCCAAATGAGTTCTAAAGACCTTAAAAGTTATGACTTCTGTTAACAGCAGGGTATTAACGCTATGAAACACTAATTTTCCATAACCAGCCAAATTCAGACAGAACACAAGAAACGTTTCCAACTCTATGTCTTGCATTACTGTACATGGAAATGAAGTTTGAGCTTGACCCCAACTAGTAGGAAGTTCTTGCTTTCTAGCTACCAGATCCTTGAACTGTTACTCAGACTGTTTAAGATTTTCACCTCTCTAGACCAATTAGATAAAATTTCAAAATAGGACAGCCATAGCAGCATTAGGGTCATTTAAGCTGTTGTATGAAGATACTTCTGCAAATATTTCACCACCACTTAAAATTAATGTTTTAGAAGAAGTCCATTTAGGATTTCACAATATTACCTTAGTTAAAAGTAGATGCTTTCTGATTTAGCATTGGTTTGTTCATAGACTCAACCCATAAGCCTGACTTTTCGTTAAATTTGCTTCAGTGTTTTTTGCTCAGTGGGAATTCTGTGTAGAATAGGTGATTGGTAAATTTGACAGATTGAAGAACAAAACACAGCCTTTCAAACTAGAATGTTCCTTAAAAAGATCCACTGGAGCCAGCAAAAGGAGACCTGGGAGCTTCAGAAGGCAAGCATGCTGCACCACTGCCTCCCAGAGGCCTTGACCGAGTGCTGCTCAAAACCCCGAGTCATCATGGTTCCTCTAATGGAAAACTCAGATGCTCAAGTAGGAGCTAGATATTATTTTGTATGTGGTCAAGGAAGCCAATTTGAGTAGCAATGATTTGAAATTTTACCCAAGTAAAGACTTCGGCTAGAAAAACATGCCAGTGAGATTATCCTTACAGCCACAATAATTTTTTTTAAAAAATAATATTTAGCCCATGTACTAAGAGGAAGGTCTGGAATTTCCACATGGACTTTTGTTTAGGCCAAGGATGCTTCTAGTTATACCTAGTGTAAGGATGACGCTTCATTTAACTTTACTGTTTGGAATGGTGTCCCAAATGCAGTCATGTGACAGCAATAGGAACTAGACAACATACTAATTACCAGGCTACCCTACATTGCAAGACAACAAATATCCCAATTATGATTTTTTATCTGATGCTCAATCTCTGAGGTACATATATCCTTACTCCACTGTAGGAGACAGACCACTTAAAATAAAAATTACATTTAGCTACAAGGTCAGAGAGACCAGAGGGTAAAGAAAGGGGTAAGAGGGTCCCAGCACAGGAACCACACAAGTGATTCCACTTCAAAAGGTGCACTCAAGAGCGTGTATGCTGTGGGGAGTGAAGGGGTGGGAAGAACCCCCCAAGGCCTCCAGGAACCGAGGCAATCGAGGTGAGTTAAAGAAGCTTTTGTGTCCTTGTGATTTGGACAGGCCCATCCAAATTAGCTCTAGGTGGGAGTCAGAAGCAAATAATGAGCTGACAGGTTACAATCCTTAAAAGGGAAATTACCAACAGTCCCCCAAGTGGAAGACTCAGAAAAGCCTAAATTCAACTCATGCGTAGGATTTCCCTGGATAACTGGGATGGGAGATTGGGGATAATTGGGTTCCTTCTCTTCCCAATTTAAGGCAACTTTAGACACTACTACAAGAGGCGCCCCAGTGAATAGATATTACAGAAAGTGCAGATACTCCCTCCCACCCCCCGGGGAGAGGGTGCGACCTTTATCCCCAACAAAAGGAGCCAGTTAGGTCTGGAAGTCAGGCCAGGTGGGGAGCCCTCAATGCCAAGCTGGGGTTTGGAAGCACCATGCACCGTCGAAGACCTGACCATCCCAGACCCCCCTCCCTACCTGGGCAGTGAGAGGAAACAGCAGCAGCAGCGCGCAGGCAGGTGCTGGCACCGAGCCTAGAGCGTCCTCCTCCAACCCCAGTACGTCAGCGAAACGCCACTGGCCCGCGACCCCCAGCCGGGCCAGCACCTGCAGAGAGGAGATAAAGCGACCAGGCGCTTGGGGACCGACAAATCGCCCGCACCTGCTAGGGGGCGGGGCCAGCACGCGCGAACCTCACACCCACGCCCGAGTCCAGGAGAAGGCCCCGCCCCGCCCCACCCAGCGCCAGTGCAATGACACAGCACAAAGCGCAGCCCACACGTGGCTCGGGCGAAGCCCGGGTACCAGAGTCTGCGAGGCCAGCGCCACGCCCTCATGAGCTCTTCCGAGCTCTTCCCAGCACTTGTTCCCATCTGGGCGCATCCTCCTCCCTCTCCCCCGAAGTGGTTTCGCAGAGTCACCCCACAAATGCAGGGGCAGAAAGCGCCCAGTATGCCCCAGCCCAGCCGCCTCAGGAGCGCGCAGGGCGCGGCTCGGTGGGCGCCTTCGTCTCCACGCTCTCGGGGGAGGGGGGCCAAGAAAGCACGAGACACACTCACTTTGTTCAGCATCTGAAAGGCAAATGCAAAGGAAAAAAAAAATAAGTCAGCGATACCATTCCTTTGCCACCGCTGACCCTAAGCCCTCCGCTCCCCCGGGCAACGGTGCACTCGGCGCTCACCTCAGGGTTAATCTCCATCGGTTTGAGCTGCATCTTCGCTAACAGCGGGAAAAAGCACAACCCAGAGAAGAAAAACAGCGAGCGGAACCGCCCAGGCTGCCTCTATAAAGCGCCGGCCTGACGCACTGTAGATGCCTGCGCAGGGGGAGCAGGGGCAAAACCAAGCGAGGGGGAAACGTCTAGTTGCAGGCAAATGGGAGCATACCCCCCCATGCGCAGCGCAGAGTGGTATAGTCGGGCCCCCAAACCTTGCAGTCTCACTCGCCAGTGAGCTAATCTAGTGGTTGTGAAGATGGATTTTGTTGGTGGGTGTTCCTTGAGTGTATGGAGCAGTCCTTTTAATGGAGTCTTGAAGTTTTGGCGAAATTTTTGGAAACCCATCTTCTCTACCATGCCAATCCCTCAAAAGCTCGGGGTCTCTGAAGCATTGAGAAAAAGCACAAATTCAACAGGTATATATTTAATATGAATATAAATGTATGTCCCCAAATCTCGCAGGAGTTTGCATTTAACCTCAGACAATCCATCCTCCATGTTAAATTTTACCAGTACCGAGGTTCGTTTTAAATTGATTGCCTAGAATTAAAAAAAAAAAAAAAGGTATATAACAGATATTGCATTAGTAATGCTGATGTAATGTGACTCCCAGGGAAAAATTGGTTGATCATGGGGAAGCGGTAGAAACCCGGGGGATGTGGCGGTAATACAAGACACAGAGAAGGCAGGCAGTTGGAGACTTTAAGTAGCAGATCCAAGGAAGAGATAGGTATGCTTTTGAGACAAGAGGCTGCAAAAGGAACTGTTCACTCTTAGGAGAACAGGAGGCTTTGAAAAATAAAATTCTGAGTTCACAATACTCACAATGAGGAAGAAAGGGAATGGCAACTAAAGAAACCACTGTTTTCTAGTGATCTCAGGTGGGTTTTTTCTTTTTAATCAGCAAATGCAAAAGATGGAGGAAAAAAAACAATATGCTCAAGAATGAATAAAAAGAGGGACCCAAATCTGTAAGAATTTTGCCAGAAAACCTATATCGCAGAATGAAGTGGGACTTGCAGAAATACTGGGGAAGCAAGAAGATTGGGTGTTTTAAAAAATATGCTCAGAACAAAATAATGATGATGGTGAAAGAATAGGCCTACCGCTTATGAGGTCCAAGGTTACCATGACAAGGAAGGGAGGGAATCTACAGTTTTTGAGTTATTTCCTCTTCAGTGGATCTTTTACATGTGTCATTTAGTGCTTAGAGGATCCAATGAGGACACTCCGATAGTGCAATTTTACAAATCAGAATCTCTGGGCTTTGATTTGCTTAAGGTTTCAATTGAGAAATAAAGACAGGAAATGTACCCTGGTAAATTCGGCTCTCAGATACCACAACATTCAACCTCTATTTTCTTTCCATTTTTACCATCAGAAAGATGATTTACACACACACAATGAAAGAGAAGAAAAATCAGCAAGAAGTTAATGAGTGAATTTTATATGTAAATTATACCTCAGTTGTTAAGAAAACACAAGACAGGTGAATAGGTAGCACAAGAACACCTGGTTACTTCGAAGGAGTTCTTGCCTGTGACGCAAATTACATTCCCAATTCATTCAATCATTTAACAAATATCGATTTAGCATTTACTGTGTGCTGGGCATGGAACTTATAATTGGAGATACAAAGATGAACACAGAAAATAAATACAGAAACTTTCCTCATGCAGCTTTTATCAGCAATGAATCCCTGTGAAATGGAGCTGAGATCAGGAGTGCCTTACTTAGTGGAAGGTTTCAGAAAGGCTTCCTGAAGGAAGTGACCTTTAAGATAAGGGCTGATGGGGAGGCCAAAGTTAGCAATTGCTAATTTTTGCACTTTGTAAAAACACTCATGAAGACAGTATCAGAAATTTTTGTTGAAGGCATTCATTTATTCATTCAATATTGAGGGCCTATTATGTGACAGGAAACATCAGAGCAGTGAATCAAACAACTCACTCTTTACAAGGAGATGCCAAAGATTGGACACACACAAATCTTATCCTAATCTTAAAAAAAAAAAAAAAAGAATGTAATTTGATCCTGCATCTGCAGACCAGAAGCGTTTATGACAGTCGTTAGCCAAATTCTGGGTCTCATGATTTGTGATTCAAGATAAAATAAGATGCAGGCATATAGAACAAGTCATGCACGCTGGCACTTATCTTTTCTTTGGGGATTACTAGCTGAGTTGACAAGCAGACACTGTCCTTACTGTATTTGTCATGCTTCCAGGGTTGGTGTAGGTTGGCAATGCAGTGAGGGTGGTTTCATAGCTTATTTATTTGATTCTCCTTGGAGGAAAAAATGATGTTTTGCTGAATGGAGTTATCACAACTGATAGCCACCCAACAGGGTTAATATTTTAACTCTATCCTGTGTCATTTTATTAGAGCAGAAAGAGAGAGAGAGAGTACATGCATGCAAGGGAGAATTAGCAATCTAAATGTCAGAATTATGAGATTTAGAAAAATGAGTTAAAAATAAAACGATGGAATTTAATAGAGATCTTGGTGACTATGCTAAAATATTTTTTAAATGGGTTATTGTATCTCAATAAAGTTGTTAAAATTTAATAGGGATATGTGTAGAGCTCTGTCAATTATAGTATGGTTGATCTTTATGTTAACTTTTTCCTTGATTCTATGGTTACTTACGTGTAATATGGACAAGTGTCAAGTAAAAACAAATCACACCATTTTTTTTACTATAATTATTTGAAATTAAATACACAAAGATCAGAAGCAAAATTTTTTTTTGAAAAATCAATTAAACATGTATTAATGAGGCTTAATACATGGCTTGTGAGAGATAGATAAGGAAAAGATTCAAATATTTTGGTGGTGTCATAATGGTAATATAAAGCTAATGCAATGTTTTTTTTCTATCAGAAGTGAGAAATTTGGGCTGGGGATGTAGCTCAGCGGCAGAGTGCTTGCCTAGCATGCATGAGGCACTGGGTTTGATCCTCAGCACCACATAAAAATAAACAAATAAAATAAAAGCATTGTTTCTGTCCGTCTACAATTACAAATAATTTTTTTAAAAAAAAGAAGTGAGAAATTCAATTTAATTTTAATCATTATAGTTTCCTGGAGTGCCATGAGAAGGTTTCTGAGCCCCTCCCCCAAGAGGAAAAAAGAAAAATGCTGTGATTGATTGGTGACGTCTGCCATGAGAAAGAAAAAATGGAAAGGATAATCAGATATTTGCTGTCTTTTGGCTAGTCTCATGTAAATACTCATGATCTAATCAAGGAAGGAAATTCCACCCCTGAATTAACTAGAGTATAGCTGGATTGTGAGGACCAGTATTTGGCATATAATAATCACTTAATACTTTTCAGCTGAAAATTCTAAAGAGTATGCTTCAAAAGAGACCCTGAGAGCTTACAGAGAGGGAAAGCCAAAATAACCAACAAGAATGGTTAATGAAATTAGGAATAAATGATGTGAAGAAGTGAAAGTTTTTGGTTTTTCATTTTTGTTTACAAAGGGAAATCACATGATACGTATACTCAAAAATTCAAAGGTGGAGGGGAATAAGCTTTATGATTGCTTAAGAGTGCAGGACAACAGAAGTCAGAGGAAAATCTTTGTTTATAGAAGAAAGCCCTTATAATTGCAGCAGTTCAACCTTTTTGTGAATTCTCTGTATCAGTGAGCATGCTTTTAGCACTTACTGAGTACTTGTGGAAGCCAAGCCCCAGTTCTATTAACTCTTTTAATCATAACACCCTTCAAAGTAGGTAGTTAATATTTCCTTTTAGAAATGAAGGTCAGAATAGTTAGTTACCTATATCATGAGAACTAAAATTTGACCACAGGCAGTCTGCACTATTGATCCCTATATTATCTTATACTATATCTGCAAAGGGCAAAATTCCCAAATAGAGTGGCTTACAGGGACATTTATGGTTTCACTTAACCAAATAATTGGAAATAGTTGGTGGTTCTAGGGTTGTTTCCAATAATCTTATCTAGGATTTGGGGTCTTTATGTCTTTCTAGTCCACTATCTTCATGGTGTTGAATGGTTATAAAAGGCCTGCAGAAGTTCTAAGAATCACTTCTCTGTCTCTCCCTCTCCTTCCTTCCCTCCCTCCCCCGCCTCTCTCTCTTGTATGATGGGCAAGTTTCTCCACAGCCCCACCCTCCTGAAAATTCTTTTCAGGTACCATAAACCTGAATTTAAGTCCATGACCAAAAGAGAGGCTGAGAAAGCAAATATGTAGTGTTTTCAGACCCTAAATCCTAAACAAGATTATAGTACAAACTCTTGCTAAGCAGCTGAGCATGCATAAGGCTGTAATTTGAGGCTGAGGGATGAATTTTATGCTATTAAACATTTATGGGGTTCCATTTAAAATTATTATCTTTTAAGATAATTTGTAACATTTTTTCACACTTTATTGAGATAAAAGTCAACTTACGAATTGACGTAAAATTGACAAATGTGAGTGTATAATTCAGTGTTCTAGTAGAGTAACATTTTAAAAAAATTTTTATTCTTTTTAGGTATCATGACAGTAAAGTATATTTTGACGTATTTATACAAACATATCTTATTCTAATTAGGATCCCAGTCTTGTGGTTGCACATGATGTGGAGATTCACTGTGGTGTCTTCATATGTGTGCATAGGAAAGTTGTGTCAGATTCATTCCACTGTCTTTCCTATTCCTATTCCTATTCTATCCCCCTCCCTTCTTTTCATTTGCCTTTGTTTTATCTACTGAAATTCTATTCTTCCCCTCCCTACAAGAGTAACACATTTGTATGATCATGTCTCTTTTAAAATATTTCCATTACCCCAGAAAATTAGTTCCCTGTAGTGATCATATTAATTCTTCCTGACCATGAACATGGAATGTCTTCCATTTATTTAGCTCTTTCTTTCACTTTTATTCTTATTTATTTTTAAAATCAAAATGTAAAAATTATAAATATTTACCAGATACTGTGTGATGTTTTGATACAAGTATTCAATGTACAATGTTCAAATCTGGGTAAAAATATCTACTCAAAACATTTATCATTTCTTTTTTGTAAAAACATTTCTTCAGGCGGGTGAGGTGGCACATGCCTGTAACCCCAGCAACTTGGAGGCTGAGGCAGGAGGATCACAAGTTCAAGGCAAGCCCTAAGCAATTTAGTGAGACCTGTCTCTAAAAAATAAATGGGAGGCTGGGGATGTGGCTCAAGTGGTAGTGCGCTCGCCTGGCATGCGTGCGGCCCGGGTTCGATCCTCAGCACCACATACAAACAAAGATGTTGTGTCTGCCGAAAACTAAAAAATAAATATTAAAAAATTCTCTCTTTCTCCTCTCTCTCTCTCTAAAAAATAAATAAATAAATAAATACATACAAACATACATACATACATACATACATACATAAATAGGGCTTGGGGCGTTGCTCAGTGACA